AAAAAAAAAAAAAGATATATAGTTTCAAAATATGACTGCTGTGTTGATACTTTGGTGCCAAAAGGCAGGGACCTTGGGAAAAGCCAGTCCCGACTCCAGCTGTGGCAGGGCAGGAGCTGGAGGCTGATGTCATGAGGCCCTCGTGTCCCTCCACAGAAGTGCTCGGAGCTGCTGGACTCCACAGCATCCCCCCTGCAGCCCCAGGTCCTGGCCGGCAGAACCTGGCATCCTGAGTCACCCTCGCGGTCTTCCTCGCTGCCCCAGGGCTGCAGCTCACTGCTGACCCTCCTCCCGTCTTCTCTGTGTCCTCTTGTGTTTGGGTTTCTCTCTGCCTCTTTGGAAGTCTAAAGTGACAGGCTTCACTTAGGTCAGACCTTGGGACGCCCTCCCTGTGGCAGAGCAGGGAGCTTTGGCCGGGTCCCAGGTTCCAGGTGCCACCCTGCTGGCTCCGGGACCTTTCTCATCACCTGGCACCCTGACCACACATTGTTTCTAGCAGCAGTCCCTGAGGAGGTTGTCGTCCCACGTCACAGACGAGAGCCGGGCCACAGGAAAGCTGTGCTCCACGCTCCCTTCCCCTTGGCTTCTCGCCACGGAGATGGCACCCACTGGCAACCAGCGCCCGCTGCAGAGCCACAGCTCACTGAGTGCTCGTGCTGAGCGGGTGCCTGGGAGGACCTTGCAGACTGGGGCCAGTTCCCAGCTCAGCCCAGAGCTCTGCCTGAGGAGGAGGCTCTTTGGAGAATAGCCCAGGGAGGACATCTTGGGGCTTTGCCCTTTGGACCCAGGGCACCTGTGACCTCCCTTCCTGCCACCCAGCAGTCAGCCAGGCCCTGGGCAACGTACCTGGGGCTCTGCTCTCAGGCCCCTCTGCCTTCTGGAAAGCTGGAATTCCGAAGGCTCTGCAGTTCAGGGCATCGGTCTGTGGATACTACCTTCACACGGAGGCGTTTGGGCTTTGTTTTGTGCCACTGAGGCTTTTGCATTTGTTATAGCACAGTCATAACAGGAGATAGCCTGGAGCCTGACCCGCAGACGTCTTGTGCTTGTGTAGGACCAACTCCACCAGGTCAGCGCAGTCCTAAAGGGCAGGACTTAGAGTGGGATCTGGGGCCACCTGGCCAGCAGCATGGGGTTTCAGTGTGAGGTGGGGGCTGAGGACCTTGCAGTGCCAGTTGCTCTCAGGTTTGTGCTGGGGACTTCCACATACAAAGGAAATTCAGAGTATTTTGCAGTGAGTTCTACTAAACTTCGTTTTACTTTTCTTATTATTTTCATATAATTTTTTTTCTTTTTTTTTTTTTTAGCTATAGTTGGACACAGTA